GGTTAGTTTTCTTCCCATCCAGCCAGACCACTTGGTCTGGGTCCAGTACTGCCTGCCTGTGTGACATCTCCTTTACTGCTGGAAGTGTGGTCCAGGAGTACCTACATCAGAATCATTTGTTGTACTTTTCAAGTATGCAGATCTTGTTCCAGCCCTAGGTTATCTGAATTATTGGGACCAGCAGCCAGGAATCACCACCTTAACAAGGAAGCCACTAGTGTTCCTTCCACACTGACACTTGGGAACCAATCAGTTGATTAATACCACACAACACAGTGTATTATTAAACAGTTATTTAATGTTGCTTGAGATTTCTAACATTATGTTTTAAATATCAAATCTTACATCTGGAATGCTACTTCAGATATATAAACATATAAACCACATAAAAGAAAAAGAGTACAATAGACAGCATAGTCAGAAAAAAAAAAAGCTGACCTTCCTTAAATCAGTTATCATACTTTCCTCAATTTCAATGAAATACACAGTAAAAATAAAGTTCAAAAGATAAAATGAATTATTTAAAACAGCTCATATAAAATGATAAAAGAGGAAAATACTGATAATTATATCATGATTTAGCAAGTAATAAACACTGACTTTTTAGTAACTATTCCTATCTAGGCTTCTTACGAGACCTCCCGAATACCAGACAGTGTATATTACTTCCGTTGTGGATTACCATGCTTTTGACTTCTATGTCAGAACCCCTTCCTGGTTATTTTTATTTGACCACTGATTTCCTTGCAGACTCCACTACAAACACTATGTCTTCTTTAAAAGGTGATACATTCCAAGTCCTGTCTCTGACACTCAGCTCTACTCACCCTACAAACTGACATTCAGTAACCCCACTCACTACCACAGCTTCACTCCAATTATTTTGTGACTCCTAAGCACACTCCACATCTTCCTAAGGTTCTGTTCATCCCCCACTACAGGCTCTGTTCAACTTCAAGTTACTTCTTATCAACTACCATTACTTGTCTGCTGTTACTTTGCCTCTTCCTAGGCCACACTCTTCAAAAGCAAGTCTTTTTCTGTAAATGATCAGCTATGTTTCAGACTTCCTAAGCCATATGGTTTCTATCATAATCATTTAACTGTCATTTGTAGCATGGTAACAGCATAGACAAATGGGCGTGACTACATTTCAATAAAATTGTATTTACAAAAAAGAGGTGATCCTTGCCCAATAGCACAACCATAGAAATTCTTTTTTTTTTTTTTTTTTTTTTTTTTCCCAGAACCGGGGATTGAACTCAGGCCCTTACACTTGCCAGGGAAGCGCTTATTCCACTGAGCCATCTCCCCAGCCCCCATAGAAATATTCTTAACCCTACTCCTTCTACCAAAATACAACATGAATTAAAGCTTTTGTAAACATACAGTGGGGAAAATTTCTAAAAATGAACAAAGAAACTGAATATATAAAAGTTAAAAATCTCAGTGGACAAAGCAAAATAAATTAGTAAAATATTACAAATAAAGTAAAAATTAAAAATACATGATACAAAAGAAATATCTGAAACAAATGTGATACATGAAATCCTAATTTTATTTCCCTGCAATTATTTGGAAACTAACCTTGAGTGCCTCCCATATGTCAATCATGCTGCTGGGTGCTTTAATATATAATATGATTTAATTATTAAGAAGTGACCAAGAACATAAGTGACAACAGAAGAACAAAATACACATGATCAAAATAAAATATATAATAATCTTATCAAAACTTAACCAACAAAAACTTGCATAGAATGTTTTTAGAGAAAAACTGGCAAATACAAGGAATACAGTATAAAGAAGCAATCAGATTCTCATGCACTATGGAGAGAATGTGCATTATACTATTTTTTTCTGGAATAAATTGGTTGACTTGCCAAAACTAAAATGTTTAAACTCAGTCACAGCATTCTTAAATACTTATCCTACAGATAAACTCAGGCATGCATATAAAACCTTATGAACATAAAAGTTAATTACTAATCTTGATACCATAGAATTGGAAAACCTTAGATACTGACCTATAGAAAAGTAAATAATCACAGCACTATATAATAGGATAGTATGTAGCAAAGACAATACTATCAAGGAAAGTTACACTTTTATAAGGAAATGGCTAGTTCCACAACACACAATTATATTTTCTATACATATATTGATATATATTGTACTATATTATACCATATATAGTATTTAGTACTGTATACTATACACATATAGTATATATGTAGTACTATTACATAGCACATAGTATAGTCTTATATTACATGTGTACAGTCTAGTCCTGTTTCTGTTAAACAACTATATCTACATCTGCATAAATGTATATATAGAGAAGGCTACATTTCAAAGAGTCTGAGGAAAAGGGTACTTCTCCAGTTCAAGATGTACCCATCTGTGTTATCTGAGTGCTTTTTTTTTTTTTTACAATAAGCTTATATCAACTAATTAATACAGTGAAATGATAAGTAACACAAACTGATCATATGCCTTCTAAAAACCTTCTAGGAGTATTAACCACTGTTGTGCAGTAGCTGAAGTCTTCAACATATTATGTATACCCACGTGACATGACCCCTATGCCATCCCTCAATCTCAGTCAACTCATGCTACTTAAGCACCTCTCCAACATCATTCTCAAGTCATGCTGTGTCACTCATAGTCAAACTTCAGATCTGTCAACTTGCTAGGATGTACAAAGCTTCTTTGCCTTTGCAAAGATTTCTTCTGCTTAAAATTCCTACTTTGTCTTTCCTACCTGGTAAATACACACCTCAAGCTCTGACTTACTATTCCTACTCTATAGATATAAAAACTGTCTTAATAAGGCTAAAGAACTGCTAGATCTATCCCTAGCTAATAAATATTATTGACAGGATGTGCACTTGATTGGGGCAAGAGTTGGCTTATTAGACAGGCTTCGAGGGGACTTGACTGGTAAAACAGGCAGAGAGTCTCCATTGGAGGTGGGGGAACAAATATGGTGGAGTAGAGGGAACAGACTCAGGCACAGGTTGGAGGAAAGAAAAAAAGTGTGTTTGTGGTGAACAGTATAATCACTCTAGACTGAAATGTTTTTATAGAACCAGGCAAGCTGAGGCAGGACACAACAATAAGAAATGGTAGACTCTAGTGAATATTAGGAAAATTGAAAAGAATATCATGAACTGCAATGGGCAAAGAGTGAAGAACAGAAATCAATACTGTAAAAACTAATGGCGTCTTTGTTTTGGTCTAGAATTAGGATGGCAGCTTCACAAATGGGGCTGGGACAGCAAAGATTTCAGGCATTTCTAAAGGTTCTCTTGATAACATTTACACATCTGACCAGAAATGAAGAGGAGAATGGAAAACAAAGAGTTAAAACTGATCTTGAAGCTTTCACCTGAGAGAGGTGAAGAATACTGGTAACTCCCATGAAATGGAATGGTAAGAAAGGAGAACTCATTTGCAGACTAGACAGGTTAAATGATGGTGCGAACAAAGATCCTGCTGCAGATAGGGACCACATCTAATGCCTACAGTTTGGAAGGCCTTGTTTTTTGAGTGACATTTTATGATTATAAATTGTGTACTGGCATTCTTAACATGCCAACAATATGACACTCAAGCCATCTGTATGAATGACAAAAGATTAACTTCTTTAGAGACATGGTTTCTTGCTCAGCTAGCATAAAGCATGAAGACAAGATACCATGTAAAATCAGCCTCATTATTTTAGAGTAACATTATACAAGTCTTACTAAGACTCTTCAGCTCCTTCATGACACTCCCTATGTCTACTTATCTCCCAACAAAGGATTTTTATTAAGTGAAGTTGGTCACTCACAAAAGAAGTTTTCTAACTTATGCCCTTTAACACTAGATTTTCAGGCTAAACTCTCTATAAAGCCTAACAAAATCATCCTTCCCTAGATCTTTCTCTACTCCCCCAAAGTCTCCCTATCTTATTTATTTCACTACACAGCATTTGTTTCTACTTTCTCTTCTCAAGTGGTATTTCATTTAGCCTTATAATTCACCAATGATTGTGTCTCTTCTCATTCAAGAAGATAAGAAAGTAAATGTTCTTAGCATGCAAATGAGGCTTTTAAAATTTTCTAGGCATTTTATAATGGACATTGATAATATATCTCAGTTATCTTACAGGCCTTTATCTATGCTGACTACATATGTTGTGGGCAGTACCATGACAACTCACAATTATGAGTGAGAATATTTGCCATTTTATCAAAAATGAACATAGAATGGAGATATCACTGAAAACTCATACTGCTCCATGAAAGAATGGCAAATTCATGTTCTAATAACCTGTTTGACATTTCTGCCATATTTTCTTCACTTAAAATACTCATTAAAAAACTGTAAATTTCACTGAAAACCTTACTAAAAGTAGGTATGTTGACAAGAGATCACAGGGTTAGCATGGAATAAAGAATTCCTAAATTGAGCTGCAAGATAACAAAGCTTTACATGAATCACAGATTGGTTGTTAGATCCAAATGACATAATTTTGGATTAGTAAGCAAGCATACACAATAAAACTTGGCTAGAATTTGAAAAGAAAAGCCTTCTCATCCTGAACCTCCTTTCAATATAACAGTCTATATCCCTGCATATGTAGCTCAATTTCACAGGTCCTGTAAGAAGCAATATATAGAAGTGGTGCATAGCACCAGGGGCCACTGTGAGTTCATGTGACAGCTCAATTCTTTTTGTTCTACATTGTAGAAATACAATAGACAAAGAAAGAACTAAGCAAAATAGACATTTTATTATAATTGCAAATAAAAGTAGGATTAACTGTAGTATGTTTACACTGTTTATAATTCTGGGTAAAGAGAATTTAGAAAGTTTGATTTTAAATCTTAAATAGAAAAGAGAAAAAGTACTAAAATCTGTAATTACAAACTATTCTTTTAGAAGCAGTAAATTTCCATTAGCTTAAGAAAAATAAGCTGCAAGCAAGGACTTACGTCAAAAACACAAAGTACCTGTGAGTTTGATTTTGGATAGTCGAGCCAAGATGCCAGGCAAGTCATCAAGCTGCAGCTTCATCTCCTTCCACTGTTTCTCCTCTTTTGTCTCTTTGTCTGTGTCTATGGAGCTTTCAATTACGGAGGCAGACTCTAGTTCTGTCAATTCCTTTTCACTTGGCTCTCTGGACAAAGAAAGGCTGGGGGATGAAGGAGATCTCATCTCATCCATCTCTGCTTTGGCTTCACTTGAAGGCATTTTTTCAAGGAAAGGAGATGCCACTGGTTCTGGCTTTGGCTTCACTTGCTGTTTCAGTATCGTATTCACTTGTGTGACATACTACAAAAAAAAAAAAAAAAAAGTGAAATGCACTACTATAGCATTTCAATATACCCATGTTGGCGCACATCTGTAATCCTAGCATTCTGGAGGCTGAGGCAGGAGGAGGAATGCTACAAGTCTGAGGCCATCCTGGGCTACAAAATGAGTTCAAAGTCAGCCTGACTTACAGATACAGACCCTATGTCAAAAACAAATGAACAAACAAAAAGACCTAAAATGCTCTTAAAAGGTTGCTTAGAAACATCTCCTACAACTTCACTGTTAGTTAATTCAGCAGGCACTTACTGAGTACCCATGACATGGAAATCACCCTACTGAGTGATATGGAGAAAGAAATACCTCAGCAATGGTTTTCAAATTCTGTGATTAAAAAATCCCAAAACTCTATGTTCCTTGAAAGGAAAATACATCTATCTTTTTATTTTATTCATCATATTGGAGGCTTAACATTCCAAATACAAGGAAAAATTTTCTGAAATCAAAAACCATGGTCAGGGCCAGCGGGATGGCTTAGTGGAATAAGTGCTTCCCTGGCAAGCGCAAGGACCTGAGTTCAATCCCTGGTTCCACCAAAAAAAAAAACCCCAAAAACCATGGTCATAGATTTTCCACATTCTTGGGCACAGTGCTGACAGGGGCTCAGTGGTAATTCAAGGCTTAATGGCATCATAGTATGATATGAGTTTTAGTCAGATAGCCCCTATCGCTCACTATTAAAAATTAGTAACGACTAACATCTGTGAGGCACTTTATGTTATATCTCATTTAGTTTCTCAAAAGCTATTAAATATGAACTACCTCTTTTTTAATTTATAAATGACAAAACTAAGCCTCTGAAATTGACAAAAGCAGGTTAAGCATCAGTTATAAATAGCCATGGGGGAAGTCATCTATGCTGCTAACTAGTTAATGTGTCTTTTTCAATACATCACAAAGGCTTGAAATTAAAATTCTAGTCTCAGACATAAACTACAGGTTGACAAATAAGTTTACAATTATGTTTACATAAAAAGGCACCTATATATTTTTGACTTTTTCCAAATATCCTTGATTTCCCAATTTCAAAAGAACATTTCTAGAAACTCAAATGTCTTGTCAACATATTTAGTTTTAGTATATTTTTCAGTGAAATTTACAATTTTTTAATGAGTATTTTAAGTGAAGAAAATATGGCAGAAATGTCAAACAGGTTATTAGAACATGAATTTGCCATTCTTTCATGGGGCAGTATGAGTTTTCAGTGATATCTTCATTCTAGGACCCTTTCTGATAAACTGGCAAATATTCTCACTTATAACTGTAAGTTAAGTCATGATACTGCCCATAAGATATGTAGTCAGCATAGATAAAGTCCTATAACTGAGATATATTATCAATGCCCAATACAAAATGCCTAGAAAAATTTAAAAACCTTGAATTTATGTCTACTCCAAAGTATAGTTATTAAAAGATTTTTAAATGCCTGCTGATTTAACAAGAGGTGTGTCATACTGTTAAAACAATTATTTCTACATATTGTCAGATATACAGAACTTCAAAGATTTTTAAAAGATGTATCATAAATTTCAGCTTTTCCTAATTTTAGCTTAGCTGAAAGATGCCAGAAGTTTTCAATCTTTCTCCAAACTTAAATCAATAAGTTCAAGATCATACTTTTAACCTCAAGCACCAGAATTATTCTGGTTTCAGTTAAGAATGATCAAAACAAGAGATTAAAGTTTTTTTATAAACCTAGGACACTAAATAAGTCTTTTTCAAATGGTATTTCCAAAACTTTTCTTATAAGAATCCTGAAATTCCCTCATAGAGAGAAAAGTACAAGCAGGAAGCAACAGAATAAGTACGGTCTTTGAAACATACCATTCGTTTAAGGAAGTTAAAATGCTGAAATGTAATCCATTGTTTATTGACATTCCTGAAAAGGTGCATAAACTTATGAGGGGACTGCAGCAGAGTTCTTCTTTCTAGATACCAGACGCATCCTCCTATCCAGCCTGTAACAGAGAGAGAAGAGGAAGAAATGTGAAAAAGACTAATGCTTCTCACCAAATGATGACAACACCTATCCAGAAGCAGTCAGCCAACCTAAGTGTCATACTGTGTGACAGATCAGATTCTGAAATGATCTAACGATGAATAAATTCATGAATTATTAATAAATGCAATTTATTCATGAATAAATGCAATTTATTAGCCCTACGCATTATTTAAATCAGTAAAATTCCTTAGGAGGGCTCAGAAATTTATCTTTTCTGGATCATTATACTTTTAAATGCTGAGATGACCACACTCTAGATGTTGTTAAAAAGCAAACACAAAAAAATCAGTTCAGTCACTTTAAGAACTAGAAAATGAAAAGCACATTTTATCAATAGATGACAGTAAAATGAAATACATACACCTCAGCTCAGTATTTTGGTCATATAGGTAAAGAAAACTAAAAGGAAAAGGAAATAATTTCCAGTGAAACATGATTTTTATCAGTTAAGGGAAAAAAACCTGTTGCATCCAAATTTGGCTTTTAATCATTGTACATCTCTCCTATCAACAAATGCATACTTCTGTCTCAGACCTATGCCTGCTAAGGGCTCTGAGAGACTGTAACAGTGCAGTTCTGCCCTTTTAAAAAGTTTCTCCTCCCATGGTATATATGGTGTAACAGGGTTTTTTTTTTTTTTAATGTGCTTAGTACAGGGTCTCACTACATAGATCGGACTTGTAGTGATCTTCCTGTTTTCAGCCTCCCAAACTGAAATTGCAGGTGTGTGCCACCACACAGTCTCAGCGTGCTCTGGGGGCGGGGCTGGCATATCTGGCTGACCCTTGTAACAGGTTCTTTCAGTTCTCTGCTTTCTGCTTTCAGTTTCCTACAGTGTCTCCTCTTCCTGTGTCTGTCACTTTAAGGCAACTGGGTTCCCATTGTTCTGAACAATAAATATTGTCCCTGAGCAAATAGGTAATTGTTACCCTTCAACTCATTTCTGGAGAGAATATTTGAGCCCTACATCCAACTGCTTTTGATATCTCCATATAGATGGACAGCAATACATCTTTAAGAACACTTTCTTACCTTTAATCTACTCTCTACTGCAGGGGGGAAAATGTTACTTATTTAAGACTTCAGAATCATGGTTCTTCTTCCTTTATCATCTAACAATGATCAAACACTGTACAGTGAACTCCAGAATGCAGGTTAATACTGTCTACTCCATTTCATTCCTACTAATCCAGATCCCTAAGATCTTACATTTGGGTTATGGTAATAGTAATATGAGTCAAGCCAGCCACGCTGCGTCCACTGATTTCTTTCCCACTCTAATCCATGTTCTACAAAGCCACTTTTCTTCCTAAAGTCCAGAATATATTCCTATTACTCACCCAAAGCTATACACACAATTTAGCAAAACCATCTTGCCTCATAACATCCCACTAAACACACTAAACAGTTTACAACTTGCTTAACTGTATGCTGTTTGCTTACAATCAACTGTGAAATTTTCAGTCTCTTTCAGCTATTTACTTTATACCACATTTTATGGCATTTCTTAGTGCAAGTTATTTCCAGCATCATTTTTTTACTCCAATGGCAGGGACTTTACTAACTGTAACTTGCATAGTATTTTCCATATAATAATGAAATGTTTCATGACTGTATTGATCACATAGCCTTCCTGGGCTACAGAAAAGAGAACTATCACCTCTTCTTAAAACACATGGCAATTATCTCACAGTGCAGATATGTCATTTCACTGAAGTCATATTTTCCATATACATGAATATGTGTTTGCTTTAGAATCACATTGAAAAATAGTTTCAACATTACATGGGCAAATGTGAAATTTTCACAGAATATCAGTAATTAGAAACAAACAAACAAAAACAAAAACACTAGCTAGGAAACTACACTTACAAGCTGTGAAACACATGGGCCTGGGGAGACAGCTTGTGGTCTAAGTGCCTGCCTGGTAAGTGCAAAGACCCAAGTTCGATCCCCAGTACTATATGTGGTGCTTGCCCCAGAGCATGTCATGCAGGCCACTGAAACTGGGCATGGTGGCACACGCCTATAATCCCAGCACTAGGGGAGGCTGAGAAAGGAGGATTACTACGAGTCTAAACTACGTAGCAAGACCCTGTATCAATAAGCAATAATAATAATACTCAAATTGTGAAACACTTCCTTTAGTTAAAACATAACATAATGAGTCAGTGCCTAGAAAAAGAAAGCTATTTCAGCCCAAGGTAAGTTAAATTCTGAAATACAGCATATAAATTTTCAATAGATGTCATTAAAAATCTGGAAATAAACCAGGTGTGCCTATGTATGCCTGTAATCCCAGGACTCTGGCGGGGGGGGGGAGGCACTGCCGAGTGGGTGGGGGGGGGGCGAGGGGCTGGGAGAAGCCCAGCCTAGTCAACTTATTGACTTAGTGAGATCTGTCTAACATATTAAAAAAGAGTTCAATCCCCAGTACTGTAAAATAAATAAATAAAAAAATATTTTTTTAAAGGAAATAAATAAAAGGATGGGAACATAGCTGAGAGTGAAGGCACTAAGTTCTATCTTACTATTACCAACAAGAAAAAAGATTCTAGAAATTTTACTGTAACTACTATTTGCCATCAACACAGGATTATCGTAGGGCTTCTGAAATCAGTGAAGACCAGAGAAGAAAGCTTCTAAAACATATTTAATACCTATAAAATATTCCAAAATTTAACAAGCAAAATTATACCTACCTATATATTACTAGATATCTAACACAGTGATAGTTTACCTTATTGGCCACCTCTCCCTATCAAATACTTTGTGGATCTTTTAAATGTATGATAGCAAGTCATATAGACAACTTACTAGCAGATTTATTGGTGTTATGTTCAGTTTCAGAAAGCAAGCTATTAACTTCTTTTATACCACTAATACAAAGGCATTCATCAAAAGTATATACACTATGTACAGCCCATCTAATAGAACTGGGAGATTCTGAGAAGTAGCATTATATGTAATGTAGGAAGCTGAAAATACAAAATGGAATGGCAGAAAAAACACCTAATCCTAGGGATTCAGATTGGAAAAGTCTCCATACACAGTGAACAATTCAAGCACTTGGAAATAATAAGCCCTGTGATAGTCCCCAGGGTCAGAATCAAGTAACATTCACAATGAGGGATGGTGAAAGGTCAAAAACATGCTTCAAAAAGCATCATCTTAATTTTCAAAAATATTTTTCATTATGGAAAATTGCAGTCATATGTAAAGGCAGAACAGTATAATGATTCCTCCAATCTCACTGCTTTTCCTCCAGTTTCAACAATTAACAAGCCTTGGTCAAGCTTGTTTCATTTGTTATACCCATCTACTCTCTGCCCCACTGTATGAGCATAAAGGACCTTTGAGATCATTCAGTTTAATTGTCTCGTTTTATATATAAGTAAACTGAACTCTAGAAATCAACTGATTTGCCCTGAGGTCTTAAAGAGACCCATAAAATAACAATAAGAAAATTAAAGACAAAAGGCATACTGAGTCACAGTTATCAAGATTGTTAACCAATGTAATAGACTTGTATGTAGAAAAAACTGAAAACTTTCTGGAGTGTAACCAAAAGGCAGCTCCTGACAGCTGTAACATAGTCCCCACTCCTCATTTAGTTACAATTCAAAAATATATGGGCAAAATCTCAGCTTTTTTTTGCCAAACTGGGGATTGAACTCAGGCCCTTGTACTTGCCAGGCAAGCGCTTATTCTACTGAGCCATCTCTGGCCCTTTCAGCCTCCTTATCAAGCCAAATTTCATTCATTTACAAATGTTTACTGAGAGCCAACAATGAGCACATAGTATTATTGCAAGTATTGGGTGAACCAGAAACAGTCACTGTCCATACCCTTGAACCTTTGGAAAGTTTATACTGTTGTTCAGTTTATATTGTAGCTGAACTCATATTGCAGTTGTCTCTGTCTGGGGGCGGGGGGAGGGAGAGAGAGAGGGAGACAGACAGACAGACAGACAGACAGATGGGGAAAGGGAGAAAAACACACACACACATTTCAGGAAAGGAAAAACAGTATGATCTTTTTTCAACAGATAGTGTTATCCTTGTTGGGAGGATCCTAGAGCATGTCATCTATGTCCCCATTACACTGCTGGCCTTTAGAGAAAAAATTGAAAATGTATGTGCAGCAATCTCAATGAAAAAGTTTACAAAAGCCATATTAATAAATGTCAGCAAGCTAATGACCAATACTTTGAGCATCTCTTGTCATTGTAGAGACCAAAAGTAACTTTAACTCGTATTAATCTCCTGATTTTTCAATAAATTTAATATTTATACAGGTTTTTCTTTTTCTGGTGTGTACTGCATACATTTTCTTTCTGTGAGTCTCTGTCTCTCTCGTTTAATTTCTCCAGTCTTCTGGGTTCCTGTCTATCTCCCTCACTCTGTGTCTCTCTCTGTCCCTCCCTTTCTCCCCCTCTCTCATTAGTCTGAGACTGTTAACCATAATGAAAGACAATGTGACAGAAAAAAGGCAGGGCCCTATTTTGGATGGTTAAGTCAGGGTAGATTTCTCTGAAAGAGTAATCTGAGGTGACATTTGAGATGAGACCTTCCTAAGAGCCAGGGATGAGTATTCAACCTTCCACATACACTTGTCATAGGTGCTTCAAGTGGGATGATAGTATTAGGAACCCTGCAGAAGATAGAAAGCCACAAGTTTAAGCGAGATTGCGAGCTGCAGTGTGCAGTTGTCATCATGGTCCCTCACAGTGGCATAAGGCTTCTGAGTGAGAGCAAAAGGCTTCCCTTGTCATTAATGGCGTGTGGCTAGGAGCTGTGGCTCCCATAAACCACCAGGCTTGTGGGGACCCAAGGTTCTGTGTCCTCAGCTCAAAGCCTGAACTTCCGGGGAAAGGACGGGGACGTGGTGCGCACCACAGGGGCCACAGCGCAAAACTGGTCCACACTTCCGTGCCTCTTCAGTTTAGAGCACTCCAAAGGTCATCTCCCCACACCGTTGCCCAGAGGACCTCCCAAGGGCTCTCAAGGTTGCAGCTAGGAGGAACCACGGCCTCGCAAGTGGCAAAAGGGAGAACTTTCCCGAGGCTGCGCTCGAGGCGAGTTACAGTACCTGTCAGGAGGCGTGAGGAGAGAGTGTGCGGGAATGCGGCCATAACGCATGAGCCCGGCCGCTGCCCGGGATCCCAGGGTCCCCACTCCTCACCGGCTGCTGGGCGCCGCCATGTTGCTCTCCCGCCCCCTGCGGTGGGAGGGACTTCCTGCTCGTCACTTCCGGCTGGGGATGCGTGGGAGGAAAGGGCGGCTGGGCTGGAACTGCGCAGCCCCCGCTGCCTGGGAGGTTTGTGAGCCCGAAGTACCCTCCGGGAACGCGAAAAGCACTGTGTGGATACGACCTTCCGAGGGAAAAGCGGCGCGGACGGCAGCCTCGCGCCTGCAGGTCCCAGAAGGTGGCCGGCATCCTCTGGCGTGCTGCAGGGCGGTCCGGGTGACCCGGCGATGGCGAGGCTTGGCCGCGCTCATCTCACTGACATTCAGTGTTCCGTTTGGGACCCTTCGCGGTGGCTCCAGAGGCGAGAGGACTCGTGGCCAGGCCTCCGCCTTCCCCTCTGATGAGTTCCACTCACGACGTAGCTGTCCTCGCGGGCAAAGGGAAGCCGGAGGGGCTGGAGGTGGGGGCGGGGACCGATTCGCGGAATGCCCCAGACGGAGAAGTTGCTTGTGCGTTGGGACACTGGCGTGGCGTGGGGTCTTCTGGACTTGGGACCTTGTTTGAGGCAGTTACGTGAGTCCTCTGACCCTCGGTGGAACATAGGCAGTAATAGTACAGTGTATACTTCATAAGGTGGTTGAGAGAATGACGTCCCAATTAGGTGGCGAAGCGCCAACCACATACAGGCACTAAGTTGGTATTATAGATATCGTCCTTGTTAGAGCAGATCTCGCAACAGCCCTCCAGCGATTTCTCGTGTTGGGGTTGGTTAGGAACACATGAAAGAAAAGTGTCCTCTTCTGTAAAGGAAGAGAGGCAGTTTCTCTTCAGTGATGAGGTAATAGCCATTTTGATTTTTTGGTTCACCTCAGCATTGCTAGGCTAAAGAACCCTGAGAAAAGTGGAATCTTTTTGACTCTGTAGGAGCTACACTATGCTTATAGGGTGAGGGGAAGTTATTATGAGTGTCAGTGTAATGCAGACAGTGCTGCTGAAAACCAGATGATACAACATTTCTGGGTAGTTGGATTAAAGAAGGCTTCAGAGGTTTAATCTTGTTGCTACTCAAGGAATAGTAAAAATTTTCCAACATACAAGAAAGGCTGAGAAAGCATAGGCTTCCAATGATTAGCTTAGGTGTGTCACATTTAGTCATTGTAAACTTGGCCGGTGACTTTCCTGAGTCAAATTAATGTTAAAGAAGAAAATAATAGATTTTGGATAACTAAGAGCCGAACACAATTTGTTCAACTCACTGTTTTTTCAATTTTTTTTTTTTTTTCAATGTATTTGGTACAGGGTCTCACTATGCAGTTTGGACTCACAGTGATCCTCCTGTTTTCAGCCTCCCCAGTGCTGGCATTACAGGCATATGCCCCCACACCAGGTCTGGATGGCCAGCTCAAGGTGCCCAGGGGCGGGGCCAGCCGGGGTAGGGGATCAAACCCCAGACCCTAAGCAGGCACTTAGTCTGCTGTGCTGTCTTACTGGCCCTTTTTATAAATATTGTAAACACAACTTCTTTTGTGAAATGCTAGCCTTGCTAAGACAAAGTGCACAATTTTAAGAATTAGAATATATTCATATTGAAAAATTTTGTTCATTCTTAGGTTAATTAGACTTTCAAGTATGCAGTTATTCTGCTTACTTAGACCTACCTTTCCTGGAATTAGAAAATGCCATGAATAAATCTGTCTTTTAATCACTGTTAATTGGACTTTTAGAGATAGGCCACAGATATTCACATAGCTCAATTTTTTCATAGATACAGAAACAGGTCTAGAGAGGTTAAATGATTCACTTTAACTATACTTTAACCCCAGACATACAAGTCAGCATTTTTCCATGTCATTATTTATGTCTCTTCAGAAAATCATACTACAAAACTTAAGAACCTAGTGATACTGTTTCATATCCACTCAGATGTCTAAATTGAAAGGTCAAATAATAACAATTGTTGATGAGACTGTGAAGAGATTGGAACCCTCATATGTTGCCCATGAGGATATAAAATAATGTAACCACTTTGAAAAACAAGTCACCTGTTCTAAGTTAAACATAGAACAGCTATGTAACCCAGAAGTTCCACCCCCAAATTATGCAATGAATGAAAATATATGTCCATGTGCAAATAATGCATACTCATAGCAGCACTCTTCCTAATATTCAAAAAGTAAACACATATTTACTTGCCATTTGTGTTTCTTCCTTTGAGAAATGTATATTCATCTCAGATGTGCATTTTTGGGTTGGGTCTTTGCATTTGGGGGGCATGATTTTTTTTAATTCTTTGTATGTTCTAGATAGAAGGTCTTTGTTGGAGGGACAGTTAGCTATAATTTTTCCCCCAGTTTATGGGTTTTCTTTTTACTCTGTTGGAGATTTGCTTTGAAGTGCACAAACTTTGTGAAAGGATAAGATCCCAGTTGTTGATTCTTTAAAGTATTTCCTGTATAGTTTGGTTTTTGTTCATGAACTCTCTAGCCACCTCTAAGTTTTTAAGATTTCCACATCATTGATCGCTCAAGAAATGCAACTTCAAACAACACTGACATTACATCTCACCCTAGAAAGAATTGCTAACATCGAGAAGCCTACAATAACAAATGCTGGAGCATCTGTGGAGAAAAAAGAACCCTTCTCCGCTGTTGGTGGGAGTGTAGGCTGATACAACCACGATGGAAATCAAGGTAGCGATTCCCTAAAAAGCTAGGATTGGAGATCCCATTCAAGCTAGCTATTCCCCCTGAAGAGCCTAAAACCTTATACCACAGTGATATATGTGTACCCATGCTTATAGCAGCCCAATTTTAGCTAAATCCTGGAAGCAACTCAGATGTCCATCAGCTGAAGAATGGATAAAGAAGATATGGTCCTTTTATACAATGGAGTAGTAGTCAGCTGTAAAACAGCATAAATTTGAGTCTTTTATCAGTAAATAGATGCAACTAGAAGCCATACTCATGAGTAAAATAAATTAGACTCACAAGTGCAAGCATCATTTTTGTCTCCTTAGAGAACCTGAAAGAAAAATGAAATCCAAAAGGTACAGTAGATGCTGGGAAAAGGGAATAAACTTATTCAAAAGGCAAGAATTACTGAGTTGAAGAGAAGGACAGGAGAGAAAGTGGGGGGAAAGATGTATGCAGGATGGTTTGGATAACTACTGTGCATTTCTGCTGGTTATGGAAAGGAGCAAATAATACTTAATTTGTTTTGTTTCCATTTTTTTCCATTGTTTATACTTTTTCTCTTAATTTCTTATACATTTTTTCTTCTAATTTTACATGCACATATCTTGTAATATGAATAACTGGTTGGAAGACAACACTATGTATTACAACAAATACAAAGTGAAATTCATATTTGTTAAAAAGTAAAATTCTGTATCACTTGTAATTTTTTTGTTTTAATTCTAATTTGTACTCAGATAAAAAAATTATCATTACTTAAAAAATGTAAACACAATCCAATGTCCATCAACTGATCAATGTATACCTAAAACATGGTATATCCATTTAGTAGGCTGTTATTTAGCCATAAGTATGCTACTGAATGGGTGAACCACAAAAACACCAAATGAAAGAAGCCAGCCACAAAAGACCATACAGTGGATAGCTCCCACTTATATGAACTATCCAGAATAGTGAAGTCCATTAAGACAAAGTACGTTAGTGATTGCCTAGGGCTGAAAAGAGGGAGTAGAAGGGAAAAAAGTGCCCATGAATGTGGAGTTTTAGTGGAAGAAAGAAGAATATTCCTAAATTGATTGTAGGAATGGTTATGCAACTCTAAATATAACTTTAGAGAAACTGATTGATATACTTTAAGGAAATTGTAGAGAATGTGAATTATCTCTCCTTTAATCTAGTATTAAATTATAAAATAAACAAAAACCTAAAGATAAGCTCAGGAAGATCTACTACTTGAGAACAAAAGTAGCAATTCTCTAATTCACACTGTTCATAATCAGTCAATACCTATTCTTCCTTTACAAAGATTGGAAGACATGATTGTCCAGAACAAAGACATTTTTTAGCCACCCTTACAGAGTGGTTTGATTTTGTGACTAACTGAACGCTGGGGCACAGTTAGAGTGATATGTTTAATTTTCAGTGTTCTTAACAGGAAAGACCACGTCCTTCCCTGCTGGCAGTAATGCAGATGAGGTGGCTGCGAATGGAACAGCATCTTGTACCACAGGGAGGTACAGGAGTGCAAAAAGCGTGGTGAAGGCTGGACAACAGCTGCTTGTGGAACAAGCAGCCCTAGGTTGATGAAATGAAGTTAAATGTCTGCCTTAATACAGGTTTATGCTATTTTACTTACAATACAACTATATTAGCAACTTCTCTTCACTGCCATGACTTTTTAGCTTTTTAATAAACAGACTAAATGGGGCCGGAGAGATGGCTCAGTAGAATAAGCACTTCCCTGGCAAGTGCAAGGGCCTGAGATCAATCCCCAGTTCCACAAACAAAAGACTAATTCTATTAATGGAGGCAGAGTATCCAGTTTCAGGAGATGAATCGTGATTGATTTAAGCCAATCAACATAGTATCATTATTTGCCTGATAGACACTATTCCAGAGTATCCTACAGTGGGAATGCCTATCTGTTAATCAGTTCTATCTTGAGAAGGAAAATGAGAAGCCTCAGTGAGGTTTGTGGCAAATCAGCCTTAAAAGCTGGATGTTTGAAGGGAAATGTGTTCTCTGCCTTTCCTCTTTTATTCTCAGGAAGCAGGCCTGAGAATGTAATTCTTGGAACTCAAGCAGCCACTGTGCAACTATGAAGTCATAAGCGTGAAGATGGACACACTAAGGAAAGGAGAGTCACTGAGCCAAGTTAAGAGTATCTTTCTGCCAACTTGCTGCTGCAGCATATTGTGATGATTAAGCTGTTTGGTGCACTGTTCATTGCATGTTGAGTGATCAATTTTAGTGAATTTTCCAAAGCTGAACAATCAAGGTTTGCTAAAAACAAGTGATGTAGAGAAGTAATTGGAATCGCCAGTTACTCAAAAAAGGATAAATATTTCAAAAAAATTTAATATTGCACCTAATTATTGTGGATTTATGCCCTATTAGTATTTTTTAAAACAGTACAAAAATAAACACCATTTTATGCATTTTTTGTTTCTTAGCGTGTTTTTTGCTATTTTTTGTTTTCCCAACTTTTGATGATGTTACAATGTCTGGTGTCCCACCTCAGAAAGATACTCTATTCTGTGTTTTCTCTCAGACTTTTAGAGCCTAGTGAATGATCTGGTGAACTGTTCCAAGTATTACAGGATCAAATCCTACTGGGTACCATTGATTAAAAAAATTATAACCCACCTTGAGACATTTTTGTTAGCTGTACGGAACTCTTAAAAGTAATTCTTAATATATTCTATTTAGCGATTTTTCAGTATAAAAATAGAGGGCTTCAAAATACAAGGGAAAAAAAAATACAAGGGTACTTGCTAAAGGCAAATTAATTTAAAAAATCCAGTAAGTTCCGATCAGAACAATAGTTACTAAGTTGCTGAAAAGCCACAAACATCACTACTTCTAGTTGGGTTCAGTGATACATTAATTCATGAACTTCATTCTTTCTCTGATTTTGCTTGCAAACTAAATTTGAATAAGAACTGAATCAAATTCAAAGATTATGTTTAATATTGACCTTATGGGGAAATATGATTCAGTTTTTGTACAATTCGGTTTGTGACCAGAATCATGGAAAGACTAAATTCTCCTGAACCCAGGTACCACTATACCTGTTCTCATCTATGTGTCTTCTTTGTACCTGCATTTGTACATTTCACAATCAGCAGCCAAAGAGGATATTCATTTTTCTTTATTTTAAAATAATTTTAAATGCATGATTGCCAAAAAAAAAATGCTCTTTACTTAGCTAATAATAATGCCTTTATTGCGATGTCTCATTTACTTCTGACAAGAACCCTGATAAATATGTTTTGATTTTTAGATAAGCTTGGGCCCTTAAAAGGTTCAAAATTCACACAGACGGTGCCATAGCTAGAATCTAAAAAGATTATTTCCAAAGCATATGTTCTTAATCCTACTGGGCTATCTTATGTATTATGGAGTCTTCAACATTGGAAATTTTTTGATACTCATCTAGCATTTCCTATGCCATCCAACTAGTGAAATTATTGAACACCAGTTCCAGGCCTGCCCCTGGGCACAACAAGCCTTCCAGAGACCAGGCATGGTGGTATATGCCTGTAATCCCAGTACTAGGGAGGCTAAAAACAGGAGGATCACTAAGAGTCTGATCTGTGTAGTGAGTCCCTGTACCAAATATGTAACAAAAATAAAATTATTGAAATTCATCCTCAAAACATTACATGATTTTACATTTTCTGACTCAGGTTCAATTTCCGGTGACCCCAGTTTCTATGTGTACAGGCCTGGAATATTCATCATACTAGGTCTGTCACTTAATTACATTGCATGTTGAGTATTTGATGAGAGTCCATAGCTGCACGCTTTCAAACAAAACCCATTGCATAGAACCAAAAATCTTTGATGATGTGTCTAGCAACCTACATTTAAGTAAAATGACTTGGTGTCTACTGATGTAGCTCAGTGATAGAGCTCTTACTCAGTATGCTTGAGCCCCTGGGTTTGCTCTCCAGCACTGAAAAAAAGAGAAAAATGACTTTATTATATAATTAAAATTATACAAGCCTTATGTAAAAATTACAAGAAGTATTTCCATGAGAAGACTACCTAAGGTAGCAATGATATAAGCATAACTCATTCTTTTTATTAGGTGGAATATACCAGATTTACTACTCTTATTCTATGTAATCACATTTATTTGAAATAATCCTACAACTTTAAATATACTTATCTTTAGCTTATTGATAATAAACTGAATCCTAATTATTGGATTTTTAGGGCTGTTATAACCAAGTATTGAAAGTGAGAAACAAAATACCATTTGTATTTTGTCCCAACGTAATTGACACCCGAAATATCAGTGGGCCATACTCCTCCGTTAACATCCTCAGGGAGGTTTCTTTTTTTTATCTTCTGTCTTCTGGAAGTCCCTAGTCATTCTTTGGTGTGAGGTAGCAACAAAAGTCCAGTCTCTGCTTACTACACATGGCCATCTTTCCTCTATTTTCCTCTGGAATTCTTCCCTTCCTGTGTGTCCAAATTTAAATTCTTCTAGGGACATCATTCCTGTCAGGTTAGACTATCCTAACAAATTCACTTTAGTTCGATTACATATGCAAAAATGCTGTGTCCAACTAAGATCATATTTGTAGATACCGAGTGCTAGAATTGAAACTAATGTTTTGGGGAGACATAATTCAACACATATCTGTCCAAGTATACAATCACTAGTGACCTAAAGAAACTACATTTGAACTTTGGAGATGTTGGAATCTAGCTCCTTGGCCATCTGCCACTACATATTTTATCTCAGTGGCATCTGCTTAGAGGAGATATAGCTGATGCTTTCAGAAAAGGGAAAGTATAATAACGGAAAAATTCAACTATTCAGTAAAAATTTATAAAAGAACAAAACTGTTGATCTCAGACATTTCTTCTGCAACAGTAAGTGCCAAATGACTTTCCAGGGTTTTGAGGAGGAGAAACTTGTAAGATTACTATAGGCACTAATTTTTTGTTTCAGCAGGACAGATGGGCATTCTCAGAAATGCAAAAACTCAGAAAATATTCCACTAATTGAAAAACTATTTGAGAATACATTCCAGTGGCTCAAAGGGTTTGGGGTTATTTAGACCAGAAAAAATTTCAAAAATAATTTTGAAACCAATTTAGAAATGCCAAGTTTAATATTATGAGGGCATTTAAAGCAAATCAAACTACCAACTAATGCTGTGATCATTTTGTAAAAGATAGATCATTTTAATGCCAAAAAGGATATAATCTGATAGCTATTTAAATAGGATAATTTACTTTCATGGAAAAAATATTCTTTTTTAGAATATCAGCTTGCCCCAGAGTAACAAAGAACTTTTTCAACAGATAAGATCGCATCCATGAATGGGCGTTGGAAACCAGGAACTGACCAGAATGCAAAGAAGGACATCAACTGAAAATGGGCTCTGGCTAACAGTCCATGATTTATGTAACTGAAAGAAAAATATTATTTGAAGCTGACTATAATCATTTCCATTTTCTAAGGAAAGTTTCAGTGGGAAAATAAATCTTTGCAGTACTACTCCCTTTCCCATTCAGAGGATGGTGTTGGGTTGAGAGAAGATAATTTCCTCCCTCAGTGGACATCTGGGTTTCCACTTAATATTTTTTAAATACTTATGAAAATACCTGTGAAAGGACTCAGTGCTTAAAATGATGATTTGAATTTATACATTTAATTAATATTTCCTAAATTCCTAAATGAAAATAGTATTTCTATTTTGAGACTAGGTAGTGTCCATTTCTGCAAATTACATATGTGAGATCAAATGAAGAAACAGACCCATTAATTTTGTCTCATGACATATAAAAGGTGAAATTTATTTATGGAGAAAAAGCCATTAAGAAAAATTCACATAATACCTCCTTTCCCAATCTTAGTGCAAGAGAGGCTGAGGGCCAGGACAAACAGAATTGGAGGTGATTGTACAAAACTATTGGGAAATACTCAATTGCAGTTTACACTGGGAATGAGTTCCTCATCTGAGAAAAACAGGGCACTTTGCACACTTGGTCTAAATCTGAGGAAGTGGTGGGATTTGCAGAGTTCCGCTCTAAAATGTTGCCCGGGAGTCCTGTGAGTTAGAACTGCAAACAGGAATAGAAGCAGTTAGGCACAGTCATAAAGTTTTTACCTCAAATCTGCTCTCTCTCACCTCCAAAGGAAATGGACCTCCGCTCTAGGATGATGTAATAGTATGGTACATCACTTAAAACCAAGAGCTATGAATTTTGCCTAGATTTAAATCCAAACTCCTCCATTTACCAGCTTTATAACTAGTTTGGCAACATGTTTAACTCTTACTGTGCCTCACTAACTCACTTTGTAATGGAGACCATAATAGTACTCACATCCCTGTCCCTTTTTGTTCGAGAATTGAAGGGTTTAAAAACTTAATTGCATCTGCCGCCTTAACACCCTTTTCCTATATAACCTAACACATTCGTTGGTATCTAAGATTAGGACATGGGCCTCACTGAGAGACCCTTAATCTGCCTACCACGGAGTCTGTGTTGTACACCATCATATTAGTTAAATTTACTTATCCCTAAATCTCAGTCAGAAAGATTTGAGTAAGGACACAATTTCTGAAATACTTTCTGTGGTTTTGATACATGTCATCTAAAGGCTCATGTATTAAAGGCTAGATTTTAAAATGTGGGGCTGTTTGTGGTGTTGGAATCTTCAGAGATGGCGGCCTAATGGGAGGTGTTTTGGCTATTAGGGGCATGTCTTTGCAGGAGGATATGGGAGCTCCATCCACTTCTCAGATCCGTTTTTGTTTCCTGGCTGCCATGAGATGAGTAGCTCCCTCTGCCACATGCTTCCACCAGGATATACTAATTTTCCCAAAAGGAGTGAGCTGTAATCTCTAGAACTGTGAGCTAAAGTAAACTGTTCCACTTTTTTAAAGTTTATTATCTCAGGCATTTTGTGACAGTGATGGAAATCTAACTAATATAAAACTCAATGTACCATCTCTATTTTGATAAAATTAGATCCTACCTCATTCCTCTGTTCTGGTAAAAATAGGCAAATAAAAATGATGTAATATTTAAAGAGGCCAATTAGAAGAATCAGAACATCTTCTATTTGTTGTAGAATTACTACTATAAATAGAAGGAAATAAATGTGGAGTCATAGAAAGATACAGAATATAGGTCCATATGTTATTTCTATATTCAAATCTTCCTCTTTAACAATAATAATTACTTTGAAATTATTGAGACTTCCCTGCCACATTAACAACAGATGTATAAATATTTACCAGTAACCTTTACTAATAATGTATTATGGAGGACCACCACCACCTGCGTGACTCTCCTTGAAGAAAGAGCAATGGTCTCCATTTGGCTGAAACTGATCCTCTTTCCATGTATTGATATGGACAGTGCTGGCTAGGACTTTTCTTTACCTCTTTAATTGGTTTT